ATGTTTGGAGCTCATGATTATTCTTACCCATTCAATTGATCGCTTACTTTTTCATTTAAATAAGTCATCTCATTAGGTAGATCTTCACTTTTCCCTTTTTTGAAATTCACGTGCTTGAAAAATTTCTTTGGATCATCATCTATCTGTTTCTCCATCTCTATTCTGTAATCTCTGAGAGCTGAGCGTGCACAACGTTTATATTTTCTTCTTATTTCTTTGTAATGTTAAATTGATTCAAGTGTGTTGAGCCTTTTTTTATTTTGATGTGCTTTGCTGTCCTTGTTTTTCAACTCAACCAATGACTTAAGTCATATAATGTAAATAGTGACATTTTGTTTAATACATTTGAAAAACAAACTAAATCGGCCATCATCGAAAATCTACAAGAAAATTTGATGAACATTGATGCTTCACCTGGTACAAAACAATCTTCCAAGAACACTGTCAACGAAACAACTAAAATATTGCCTAATTATTTAGATGACAGTACACCATCTCCTATCGCTGAAACAAGGAAATGTGAAGGAACAAGGAAATTCATCTACGTCATATGACGAAAGCCAGAATGACGTGGAAAAACATATGGATATCGTAACTAACAATGTACAACAATACAATGTTGCCCTTTTAAATGGAATCGCAAAATTGTACAACTCACTGAAAGATAGAAAATCATCTATGGAACGTTCCATCGAAGACCATATAAAACAGTCCAAAACAACATTGAAGTCCATGGTTTCAAGTTCGGCAGAAATTGCAAAATTGAAAAAATCACTAGATGAAAATATTCAAGAAAATAACAAACAGAAAAAACGAATTTACGAGTTGGAAAACGAAATTGTGCGTTGAGTGCGGAGAACAAATGGATCCAATTCGTTATTGCCGTACTGCTTGCGTTGACGCTGCCATTGTGTATGAGTTATTATTTTTTCACAACGTAATTTAACTCAATTAAAGTAATTTCGTCTTTATTATTTTTCTTTCCAGACGACGAAGTAAGGAGCTCATGAAGGAAAACTCCAAATAACATTGCAATTGGATAAAATGGAACTAGGGGTGTCCTTATTTTGCACAAGTTCGAATTTCAACAAGCGCAACTCGGATTATTGTTCCATTTGGTCCCAAATGACCACAGAAAAAATTTGGTACCGATCGGAGAACTCCTGATAGAAGCGGAAAGAACCTAAATTTTTAAATCTCGAAAATACCATATTTTTGTGAAAAAATGCATTTTTTTTCGCCATTTTTGAATGAAAAAATGTAGTTTCATTATGAATATCGATTTAATTAACAATATTTCGTATTTCTATTGAAAATATAATGTTTTCCAATCAATTATCAATAAAATTTATTGGGTTCTTTGTAATTTTATTTAAATTTTCTTGCTGGAAGCAATGGAAATTTTTTAGTTGGATTGACGATTTTTTTCAAATGGTTGATTCTTACCCACTATCAGGCTGACAGTGTCAGTTTCTATCAAAAAGCATACACATTCAATCTAGTACACATTTAAGGTGTGTAAACAGTGTAGCGATACATTTCATTTTGACACATGAAACCATCTCACCATATTGGATCATTATTAAACTGCGTAATTTACACATTAAACAAGCAAAGTCATTCAATTTTTGTATTTCACCATTTTTATCAATAAAATAAGAATTATTATGTCGGATGTACAATCTAAATCAACTGTGGAACCTGCTGGAAGCACTTCAAGTGCAACAACACGTAAATCTGTAGAAAATTTGCACAATATCGATATGATTGGAAAAACTTCACATCAAATTACTGGCGCGAAACTCCCGTCGAACAGACAAGTCTTGCAAGTCATGTTTTATAACATAAGATTCGTTGATCGGGACAAACAGAAAGATGCAAAGAAGAGTGCAAAATTGGCAATCGATGCAGTTAAAATATTTTGGAAACAAGCACGTATACTAATTGCCGAGGACCATAGATGTGTAGAAAAATTGATGAAATTGTATGGTGATTGGAAAACATACGAAAAACTGTTCCAGCTAAAAGATCAAGCGCTCAAAACAAGTTAGCCGAATCATTTTGTGAAAATCTTGATGATTTATATGACATTTCCGCATCGAATGCTCAAAACAAATGAAAATTGTGGAGGATAAAATGTTTCTCGAAATGCAAAGACAAAAGGGTCGCCCAGGCTCCATGGCCGGTGTTGATATGAAGTTATATGGAAAAGAAAAAAGAGCAAATGAGCGAAAAGAGAAAGAGCAATTGCGAAAAAGAAAACATCAAGAACAAATGTTTCGACAAAATGGTAATTTTGCATTTTTAGAAATGTATTTAGGTTATCTATGTTAAGTTTTCAATAAATTATAGCTGTCGTCCAACACATGGATTGGGAAAATGAAGACGATGCTGATGAAACACAACCTTTCGAGTCGCTCATTGATGATGACAATACAACTGATTTCGGTCTAGAATCAAATGTTGATACTGAAGAAACTGTCAGCTCAAGTGTGTCCAAACCAGCTAAAAAACGAGGTCGAAAAAATTTCATCACATCTCGTTTAGTTTCGGCACTTGACAATGCTAAAGTAAGCGATGGAATGGCCGTACATATTCTTATTGCGGCAGCTGAAGCATTGGGCCATCGAACAGAAAATCTTGTAATAAATCGATCAAGTATTCATCGTTTGCGTCAAGAAAATCGTCTTAGAGAATCCACAGAAATTTCGGCTGCTTTTAATGATAGTGTAATTAGTTTTAACTCCTAGACTTTTCACAGGCTTCTTTTTATTTTTTGTTGAAGAGTAACGCAAATTCTTTTTTTTAGCTAAGCAATATGGGAAAGTTTGTAGTTCATTGGGATGGAAAAATCTTGCCGGATATAGTTGGTAAAACTAAAGTCGATCGTATCGCAGTTCTCGTCAGTTACAATGGCACGTCGAAATTCCTTGGAGTACCAAAAATAACAACATCAACTGGTCAAAATATTGCTGATGCAGTTTATAGCGTATTAGTAAAATGGAACATTGTAGATCGAATTGAAGGCATGTGCTTCGATACAACA